GTGTTAAGATTCTGTAGGTGACATGGGTGATTTTAATACAGGGAGATAGAACAAAAAATAATACTCTACTCAGGTCAAGTTAGGTCAATTTTTTGTTTGTAATCAACAATTTCCCACTACTTCAAATCCCTGCCCTCTTTTGGGACTACAAAGTGTAAATCGTGAAAGTGGGGGAGGTCATATCGTTATAACTGCTCATTTCCGGCGAATGAGACGCCAGAAAAAGACTAATAGTTAAAGTTCCTGTCCAAGTACATAACCTAACCTTTATGCAAACCAGGAAAATACTAACCAATCAGGGAACTCTATATGGATTTGATTATATGGAGATAGAGCAAAAAAATAATAAATAAATAGCGTTTTGTCGGAAATTTGTATTTTTCGATTTTTTTTTCCTTCTGACATTTCGATTTCCGGTTTGGTTGTTTCGGTTCCTTTGTTTTTTCTTTGTGCTGTCGGGTTAGGTTAGGTTTATACACCGAGGGGTTAAATCAGGTCTAGTGTTAGGTGGAATGACTTGTGTTTGGTGGAATGTCTAGTGTTTGGTGGAATGACTAATGTTAGGTGGAATGACTAGTGTTTGGTGGAATGACGAGTGTTAGGTGGAATGTCTAGTGTTAGGTGGAATGACTAGTGTTAGGTGGAATGACTAGTGTTAGGTGGAATGACTAGTGTTTGGTGGAATGACTAGTGTTTGGTGGAATGACTAATGTTAGGTGGAATGACTAGTGTTTGGTGGAATGACGAGTGTTAGGTGGAATGTCTAGTGTTAGGAATGTCTAGTGCTTGGTGTGGAATGTCTAGTTAGGTGGAATGTCTAGTGTTAGGTGGAATGTCTAATGTAGGGTGGAATGTCTAGTGTTAAGTGTAGAATGCATTGGGTTAATGTTAGGTGGAATGTCTAGTGTTAGGTGGAATGTCTAATGTTAGGTGGGAATGTCTAGTGTTATGTAGAATGACCACGTTAGGTGGAATGTCTAGTTAGGTAGAATGACTAATGTTAGGTGGAATGTCTAGTGTTAGGTGGAATGAATAATGTTAGGTGGAATGTCTATAGTGTTAGGTGGAATGTCTAATGTTAGTGGAATGTCTAGTGTTATGTAGAATGACTAATGTTAGTGGAATGTCTAGTGTTAGGTAGAATGACTAATGTTAGGTGGAATGACTAGTGTTAGGTGGAATGACTAGTGTTAGGTAGAATAACTAATGTTAGTGGAATGTCTAGTGTTAGGTGGAATGTCTAGTGTTAGGTGGAATGTCTAGTGTTAGGTGGAATGTCTAGTGTTAGGTGGAATGTCTAGTGTTAGGTGGAATGTCTAGTGTTAGGTGGAATGTCTAGTGTTAGGTGGAATGTCTAATGTTAGGTGGAATGTCTAGTGTTAGGTAGAATAACTAATGTTAGGTGAAATGTCTAGTGTTTGGTAGAATGACTAATGTTAGGTGGAATGACTAATGTTAGGTGGAATGTCTAGTGTTTGGTGGAATGTCTAGTTAGGTGGAATGTCTAGTGTTTGGTGGAATGTCTAGTGTTTGGTGGAATGTCTAGTGTTAGGTGGAATGTCTAGTTAGGTGGAATGTCTAGTGTTAGGAGGAGTGTCTAGTGTTTGGTGGAATGTGTAGTGTTAGGTAGAATGTCTAGTGCTAGGTGGAATGTCTAGTTAGGTGGAATGTCTAGTGTTTAGTGGAATATCTAATGTTAGGTGGAATGACTATTGTTAGGAGTGTACGAATGTGTGAAGGATGCTGGACTCTTGCAAGGCCACCAAAGTTTACTCTGGGAATGACCAATATCAACTACTTAATGGCACGTAATGGGGTATTGGGCCCAAGGTTAGTAACGAGACGCACCACGACCAGGCACTGAGGAATGATTTAGTTCCCAGGATAAGTGGCTACATCCGGAAGTGTATGCCGCCGCACTATGCAACTGTAGCTATCTTACTCCACTTAGCTACCTTACTCCACTTAGCTACCTTACTCCACTTAGCTACCTTACTCCACTTAGCTACCTTACTCCACTTAGCTACCTTACTCCACTTAGCTATCTTACTCCACTTAGCTACCTTACTCCACTTAGCTACCTTACTCCACTTAGCTACCTTACTCCACTTAGCTACCTTACTCCACTTAGCTACCTTACTCCACTTAGCTACCTTAATCCACTTAGCTACCTTACTCCACTTAGCTACCTTACTCCACTTAGCTACCTTACTCCACTTAGCTACCTTACTCCACTTAGCTACCTTACTCCACTTAGCTACCTTAATCCACTTAGCTACCTTACTCCACTTAGCTACTTTAATCCACTTAGCTACCTTAATCCACTTAGCTACCTTACTCCACTTAGCTATCTTAATCCACTTACTGCTCTCTGACTTGTAAAGGTGTGTTAGTATGGGGAACCTGAAAGAGTTTTTGGCGTCCTGTTGTTGTTCCCACTAGTAAAGAAACCCTCATTTTCAGGATAGATGCTTCAAACAGAGGACTTGGAGCTGTACTGCTATAAGACGCGAAGGGAGTAACACGTCCTGTGCCGTTTATCAGCTGTTAAGAATGATTAGCCATCGTCTGGGGAGGACACTATTCCCAGGTCTACATTTATGGTGAATACTTTGAGTTATACTTTCTGATCATAAACCATTGCATTACTTAAGGAGTGTCAGGGATCTTAATTCTAGACTCGTGTGATGGTCTTGGGTCGTACAGCCACACACTACATATTTAAGTTAAACTACATTAAAGGTACAGAAAATTTGAGCTGGTTACATGACTAAAACTTGAGAGAGGAAGTCCTTGGAATATATTGTATTTTGTATCGCTATTTTCTTTGCCAGGGGCGTCTTGTCATTGTCGCCAATTGCCTAATTGGGCTACTGACCATCGGGGGGTTGTCTCTCCAGAATATACAGTAAAGGGGATCTTATATATCTTGACGTGCATCAAGAATATTTGTATCCTTAAGGTTTAATTTAATAATTTATAATAAGTAAAATCTTGTCTTGTTTACATTTGTAATATTTCAGTTTGTTCAGGGCCTTAATTAGGGTTTGGAGGTTTATGTAGCTTAGGCTGTCTCTCATGTGTGTGTGAACTAACATAGTGTTTAACCTGCAGGGAAGAGAGTGGGCGAGGGAGATTCGTTCTGCAGGCTGGTGAGATGCCCGAGTCCTCCGCTCTGAGCTCTGTTTGTGCTGCTGACTACAGTAGCCGCGGCCGATGTTTGGGTGACTTGTGAGTACATCCCCAGGGGAGGTGCTGGTGTCTGAGGATTGCGGTACCTTGTGGGGAGGACACCCTGGCTCCAGACACCGACAGACAGCACCACAGGCAAGTACCATTCATCTTTATTAAGGTTTATTTGGAAACTGTTAATGTATACAGATATTCTATTTCACTATTTAAACTGTCTTATATTTTAAGCTCTTAGACTTCCTTGTTTAAACTTTTTTGGTATTTCACTTATCAACAAAATCACTATCTATTCTAAACTGGGTTGTATTTTAAAGTATTTTGTCTCCATTTAAACTGTGTGATGCTGGTGCTGTGGGAGATAAGAGTACTGTAAGGTGTCTGGGGGTTACATACACACATTTACGGTGTTTTGTACATCCTTGGTGACGTGAGGGCCGGTGTGGTCTGTACCATAAGGACTGGGAAGCAAGATTTAATACAATTTACCGGTATATGGTGAATGTTACGTTTAGGTAATGTTTGCATAAAGTATTGGTTAGGTTAAAGTTATATTTGGATAAGGTATTGTTTGGTTAAGGTTATGTTTGGTTAAGGTATTAGGTTAATTTTGTTAGTAGTTTTGGGTTAAGGTTAAGCTAGTTATAATATGGTTCTGTTACGGTTCAGGTTCTCGTCTTTTTAGGTTATTTCTGGTTAATGTTATGATAGGTTGATGTTTTTAAGATTTGGTTAGATTAATGTTTGTTTACGTGACGTTAAAGTTTAGTCAAATGTAGTTAAGATCAGATGTACAGTCTCGTTCAAGATTCTTCGAACACTGCTGGAGACAATTCAAGGCCTTTTGTTTACTATAGTACGCAGTAAAACTTATGAATGAATGTAAGAGTGATCGGTTATTGGTTACTTAGTTCCCCGTTGCTTAATTAATGGTTGGGCTTTGTTGTTTCGTGGTATAGTAAACAAACGGCCTTGAGTTGCCAGCTGTCTCCAGCAGTGTTCGAAGAAACTTGAATGAGACTGTACCATACTTGAGGTTAAAACCCAAATATAAACGGAGCCCTACACCTGGTCCTCAAGAATAGCACAACAAAATAAAGATACGTTCACATATTTTCCACGGATATACAACTACAGTATATAAACGTTCTTAAGCAAGGACATTCGTGGAAGCTGAAAATAATGACCTTTTTTCTATTTCTACTCATATTTTGGCTTTAAAATGTTAATTAATACTATGCTGGTACTGTACCTCTAGATCTTCCTGCTAACTAAATTACTAAGGTGTGTGCCTTGAAGTGACGTCATGCACAGCAACTCTTAGTGGTACAGAATAAGACAACTGTAGAATTTCTGGAGAATAAAGATAAAAATCCTTAAAAAAAAAATTATACAATGAAAACTAAAGCCCTTCTAAAGGCCTAAGAAGCGACACCAAACTTATGAGCCCAACCCAACCTGACCCCCTCCCCAGACCCTGCATGTAGCCTAATTGTAAGAGTGGTTAATCTTCAGGTTAAATAAGCTGGTGGGCCCAATCATAAGGTGGTCAAATTCTCCATCCATCTGGTTTATGCGGGTTAGATTAGGTTCCATTATTTATGCAGGAAGTCATAATATTTCGTGCGTTACCTGATGAAGCGAAAACTGGCCAGCGTAGAACAATGGAATGGTGTTGTTGCCTTAAGCTACTTATTTTAGGGTCAAATACAGAATTCACTCAGTGTTGTGTATGTATACTATATAAATACACATGTTACCTATACATATTAATGATTTTCAAATATAGAGGTTAAATTAATACACCAATGATAGTTTATTGTATATATTGAAGTCAACATTGGACATTATGGCACAGGGCGAAGCGTTTACTACACAACTATGAAGTACTGTACTGTATACTGAACTCTATAAATGTATCAACTTTTTTGTAGCTGCTCTGTAAAGATAATTTTATTTTTAATCCTACTAAAATACTGATATGTTTTTTGTCATTTCTGGCATTTTTGGTTTATTATAATAGAAATAAAATAGTGATATAACTTGGAGAAACACAAAACAATGTTGTTATATATTATATTGTGGATGAAAATGTCTTACGCTAACACATAAATTATCGTAAATAGTTTTTGAAAGTTCGTGGTAATTATTATAAAACTATACTGTTAAAACTCTTCTCTTGGTTGATTTTATATTAATATACTCACTTGTTTGAGAATATGGCGGTTATATGGCAAATTAGTGAAAACCAACTTTCTTTTTTCTTCACATATAAACATTTCCAGTAATTTGTATCGCACGTATACAAATAAGGGGAAAAAAACTTACACTTTTACATCTGTCAAGACACGAGAACGTAGTAAAAAAATACACATAAAAGGAAAAAAAATAAGCATGTATCCCCCACATTATTCCCGCTGAGTCACTTAATCCTAAAACATACAAAAGTATTATTACATCACAATTTTGGCACAACGGTATCTGTGATTTGTTGGTAGGCCTGGTGGTGTGTCACTCTTGGTAGCACTGATGGCGATAATTCGGGTAAAAATTGGTGTGGGTAGAGTTGGTAGCCATGGAGTAAAGTTGGTAGCCATGGAGTAAAGTTGGTAGCCCTGATATTGACAAAATTGGTGACATTTAATTATCAAAAAGTGATGTTATTGTACCCTTGAATTTAATTATAGTTGAAACTCAAATGTGATGGTGTTGGTAATCTTGACTGTGTTATATTGCTAGAAGTAACGAGAACAATTGTGCTTATCCTGCCAAATATAGTGTTAGCCATGGTTGTAACTGTTGGTAACCCTGGTTATAATTGTATTGGTAATACTGACTGTGGTAAAGTTTGAAGGAAAAATACATTAAACTCTATTTAATAATGGTATAATGTTGCTTGTTCAACATTTCATTACATATTTGTAATTAAGTAAGCATCAGGGACGCCAACTTTATCTGATACTGCGGGGCGAGAAATGTTGGTAGTCCTGGTAAGTTTCAGGGCCACCAACATATACTGTGGAAGGGTATTAGGAATGTTGGTAGTTCTGGTGGACATCAGGGCTTCCAACTTTAACTTAGGTAGTCTAGTAATGTTGGTAGTCCTGGTAGGCGTCAGGGCCGCCAACATCAGCAGAGGAGGGGTAAGAGGATCCCTCAAACAGGGCCTCAAGGACGCTGTAATCTAAGGGGTCGTGAGAGTCGAGGTTGGACTGGGGTTCCAGGGGGTAGTGGGGGAAGTAGCCAGGGGTGAGGGAGGGGTCAGCCATGGGCGTGGGGTCGGCCAGGGGTCCGGCGCTCATGCTGGGGTACACCAGGGGCGACTCGTCGTCTACTACCGGGACTTGGGGAGGGAGTGGGTCATACTCGTGGGTAGGGGCGGCTGTGGGCGTAGGGACGTCGTACTCTTGTTGGTGGGGCGGGGGTGGTAGGTCGTACTTGTGGGCGGGCGGGGGTGGTGGTGGTGGAGGTGGTGGCGGCGGAGGAGGCTCATCGAGGGGAGGCGGTGGGTGATGGTGGTGGGCGTGGTGGTGGTGATGGTGCGGCACCTTGAGAGTGGGAGGTGAGTTGTACTTGTGGGCGGAGGCACCGGGCTGGTCGTAGGAGGTGTGGCCGGCGGCGACGTCGTAGCCAGTGTCGTCACAGCAGAGCAGTGGCCGGCTGGACCCTGCGGAGGGGATCACCTGCGACTGACTGACCATGGGAGGGGGCGGTGCAGCAGAATTACCTGCCGATTGGCTGACGATGGATTGTGGCGGTGCTACGGATGAGGGCATGACCGGCGATTGGTTATTAATAGATTGGGAAGATGGAGCTACGATGGGGGTGTAGGCCTGGGATATCTGAGCTTCGTAGGCCTGGGCGTCCTCCTGTTGCGCCCTCTTCATCGCTCGAAGCTCCTGATTTAACTTAAAAAAGAAGGCAGCGTGATGTAGGAAGAATCCTTGTTTTCCTTTGGGGCCGGCTGGTGGCGGACGCTGTTCATGTTGGCGTCCCTCTTCTCGTGGAGAAAATCCTCCGTCTTCACCTCCTGTAGATAGTCGTAGGTCTTGAGCGGTCCGTTCCCGAAGTCCCGCATCCCCGTCGACGACTGGAAATCTCCCGCCCGCATCTGCCCGATGGGGTTCGTAAAAAGGGAGTCGTTGATCCCCATTGGTTGAGAAAGCATCGGGTAGCTATATCCCGGGTTGTGATTGGTAGAGAAGGGATAGGAGGCTGGGCCCAGGAGGTTGAGGTGGGTAGGGTCGTAGGAGGAGGAGTAGGTCCAGGCGTCTCCGGAGTTGAAGGGGGACAGTGTGTTGAGGGAGTTGAGGGAGTTGAAGCCGCCCCCGAGGCCGGCCCCCATGCCACCTGCAACAATCACAGTCATTATTAATTATAACAACAAAATAAACTAACATCATTATCACCGTCATCACTATAATTATCACCAGTACCATCATCATTATCACCCTCATCACTATAATTATCACCAGTACCATCATCATTATCACAGGTCATCACTATAATTATCACCAGTACCATCATCATTATCACCCTCATCACTATAATTATCACCAGTACCATCATCATTATCACCAGTACCATCATCATTATCACAGGTCATCACTATAATTATCACCAGTACCATCATCACCACCAGCACCGTCACCATTATAGCACCCGTCACCATCATATAGTTATCACCAGTCATCATCATAGTTATCATTATCACCAGTATCATCGTTGTTATCATTATCACCATTACCGTCATCATCATAGTTATCATTATCACCATTACCGTCATCATCATAGTTATCATTATCACCATTACCGTCATCATCATAGTTATCATTATCACCATTACCGTCATCATAGTTATCATTATCACCACCAGCACCGCCATGATCATAATTATCATTGTTATCAATATCATCACCGGTACCCACCATCATTGTCATTATTATCACCATTATCATAACCGCCAACCATTTTATTTCACCAGTCTTCAAAATCTTTCCCAAATTTGTACAGAACACCTTAGCCACATGAGACCGCATTATAAGATCTGTGTAAAAACTTGACTATTTTGTGGTATATTTAACACACAGGTAAAAAAAAAAACAGTACTATCTTTGAACCCGTGATAGAACCTCGCCATACTGTATTTATAAAAAGATAATTGACTAGGTTGTAAATGTCATATTTTTGTAGATATTTTGAATGTTATTGATATTTCAGTGATCATTTACGTATTAATGAGATAAATACTCGTATTATAAATGGTAAATATGAATCGTATTATATGGATGTAATAATATGCATTAACATTTTTGTGTTAGGAGATAATGTTAATTTTATAATATAAATAGTAAATGATCCGGCGCCGAATAAACACAAGAAAATTATGAATTCTTTAAACTATTTAATATTACAAAAGGGAAAATAAAAATGATCTTACCTGGTGGAATATAATTCTTCCTCGGTGGTTCTCTTTTCCTCCATTTAGCGCGACGGTTCTGGAACCACACCTGAACCCGGGATTCGGACAGGCTCAGTTTGACCGCCAATTCTTCCCTCGCAAACACATCAGGGTAGGGTGCGCGCTCAAACGCTCGCTCCAGCTCCTCCAGCTGATATGCTGTGAATGTAGTCCTGCGGGAGGAAGAGAGTGTAAGATCTTAACAAATGTGTCGTTTATGGAATATGCTGGTTAGAGGTTTCAAATTACTTAGGCGAGAACTAAAGGAGTGACCATAAATTGTTATCAATATATTGATTACTGTCGACTATACCCTTTCCGCACTAACCCGACCCGTAAGCCACACTCCTCTTCTATACTAATAGCTTATTAGTTCCCCTGAGCTTCTTACCCCCCCCCCCCGACTGTGCGTATATAAGCGCGTATTTATATCGACCTTTTATGATGAATATTTAAAATTTTCTAACATCCTCTCTGAAGTGCTAACGCCTTAGAAATTATTTGTATAGAAGAGGAGCGTGGCTTATGGGCCAAGTTAGCGTGGAAATACTCTAGTGTAAAAATGTATTCTTCATTTATCATTTGCATTCTATTGTGAACTGTACTGTATTCCACACACTCGCCTAACTTGTCGCTTATACAGATTGTTTTAACTATGCGTTACTAAGTCTGACGTTCGTTATTAGTCAATATTCCACCAAAGAAAATACCATTACATAACCAGTATTATATTTAAGCTCCTGTTATTGTATTATTAACAGTAGTGAAGTTAATAATAAATAAAATAGTAAATAATATTAGTGCAAGAAAAACTATATGTATATCTTACAGCATAATGTTAGAATAAAATAAATGTTAAACTATTGTCATAAATTAATACATTACATACAAAGTAATCTATCAAATAAAATCAGATTCCTTGAAAATAAAATATTAACGCCGTACACTGGACTATAAAAAAAAGTTGCCAAGCTACCCGGGCGCTTGCTGGTTTTAAATTCATATATGCACAATATATATCCTGCCTTCAGTTTTAACTTGGTTGAGTGGGTAAACTTTTATGTTTTATCATATGTTTATTGCATATTGTTGACTCGGCGCCAGCATATTGCAGCTTCACATTTTTATATACTGTACTGTAAGGATTATATAAAAAGATATTAAATTCTAGTGTAATCAGCGTCCAAATTTACAAAAGTTCGTAACGTTGAATAGTTCTCGTAAGTGAAGATTGATAATGCATATAACTGATTGATATTACATTTAATCACAAAAAATGCATAAAAATTACATAATAACCCAGGTCCGTTCTTTTAGCACCAAATATAATGAAAGCAAAAATTCCCTATACGTTATGTTTGTGTTAGCTTGGTTGGTTAAGTTTGGTCGATAACACCAGGCAGAATTTAAGAAAAGATTGCCTATACATTTGGTTAGAGTTGTCATAATTTGGTTTAGTTTGGTTAAGTTTAGTTTAGTTTGTTGTTGCTGTCATAAATAGTTTAGCTTAGTAGCCTCCATAAGAAAAGTAGGGAAAGAAATTTCGAAACAAAATTATAAACTAAAAAAATCAAGAGAATCAAAGATGGAAGAGAGAAATGGTGCAATAGTTTACCCACATCATGTGTCAGGGGCGCTGGGCTGGCAACAATGAAAAGTGGTGAAATATTTGCGTCAGGCCAGATGTGAGTTGTGTGAGAGGTGAGGGTGATACGTTATTATAGCAGTTGTTGGGGAGAATCGTGGTGACAGTACTGTATGGCGTGAATAGGCTGCGTTAGTACTGACATGTAAATAGCAGGTACACTATTGTTATAATAGAAGGAAGCGCACCAGCAGTGGGCAAAGATGTTACCTTTCAAATATAAATGATCTGGGCTGGTGAGTTGACTGAGATATTACTATTTAAAAGTGGTCAACACTAGATGAAAGGATGATTACTACGACACACACACACACACACACACACACACGCGCGCGAAAGATTTATCTAGGAATTCATTCGGTTGGTAATGATTTATACTAGTTCACTTCTATGCAAAACTGATCAGCGACAGAGGCAGTGCTCACGACATTGTCCGCTGCAGAAAAAATTGACCGCCAACCACACATTTTAATGACACTCCCTGACATACTGTACAGGAAGTTTTTGTTCAAAAATATAAAATGGAAATGTGGCAGGAAGGTGTTGGAGAGTTGTAAATATAATAACTATAAGGGACATGTTAGTAAACCGTCACTGAACGCAGTACATATGTTGCGGTTTTTCTTGAGAAATAACTTACAAACTGGCTGACCAAAGAAAAAATGAACAGGATCACTTAACTGTGTATTAATCTACACGAGCCATCCTAACCTAACCTAACCATAAGGTTCGGTGAGTTTAGGTTGTCTGTTGTAAGTTATTTCGCCCCAAAAAAGTAACATTTACACAAAGCACAAGTAATAACTTAATTCAATAATTCAGTTATATGTTAAGAGAGGGTATCAATTAGATGCGGGTATTAGGACAAGTCAATATTAATTACGTCAAATGGACACAGCAACAGACATGTACCAAAGGTTACAGTAGGTAGGACTAGCCGGCTCCCCCCATCTCGGCTCTATTTGTGTGTACGATCTTGTAGGTCCTTCCCAATCTCTCAAACCCCGGCCCAATCTTTTCCAAATCTTACTTACTGCCTGTGCATGTTTGTGCTTTTAAACAAATATCAAGAGGCGTGTCTCCTTGTTCTAAGCTCCTCCCACTACAATCTTAATGGATAAAGTTAAATTACAGTTGCCTAGGTTGACTAATGTCTACCTCTGCGTATTGAGTCAACAGGGAGGGGATGGAGTTCAGTCGTTGCCTCGGGACTGTATAACACATTAAAGGCGTTTGTCTAGAGCCCTCAGAGGGAGGTCCATGTAACATAACATTAACTTTCTCCTGACTGTTACAAATGGCCGGCATTAACTCTCTGACCCCAGACGTCGTATATAAATCCTTCACTGTTACACCAAGACGAAGACGAAAATAAATCACCAAAAAAAAAATGAACATATATGTAAAGCGAATTTAACGAAGGAGAGGACTGTAAAGTTCCAGGAAATAAAAAAAAAAGAAAAAGAAAATGGAACTTAACTTTTCAGACACGTAGGATTAAGTTAATACAGCGAAGGAGAAATAGGAGGGTGGAGTCATGGCGGAGAAGGAGGAAAGTTAGGATGATGGAGGTGTGTGTCGTGGAGGGCCGTTAAGACAGACAGATGTGAAGCTCCTGGTTGAAGGTAATGTCGTTCCTTTCATAAATAATTTACCGCCGTATCGTCTTAGCTAGAGTTATTATATACTGAGAGGAGCAACATGGGCGGTCCCGGAAAACTATTATAGATTACGTGATCACTACGCGCCATTTTGTTTTTATCAGTGCATATAAGTTGCCATTAAATAAGGCAGAGGTTACGTATTACCATTAAATACGGCAGGGATTACGTATTACCAGTAAATAAATAAGGCAGGGGTTACATACTACCAGTAAATAAGGCAGAGGTTACGTATTACCATTAAATAAATAAGGCAGGGGTTACGTATTACCATTAAATAAGGCAGAGATTACGTATTGCCATTAAATAAGGCAGGGGTTATGAATTACCAGTAAATAAATAAGGCAGAGGTTACATATTACCATTAAATAAGGCAGAGGTTACGTATTACCATTAAATAAGGCAGGGGTTACGTATTACCATTAAATAAATAAGGCAGAGGTTACATATTACCATTAAATAAGGCAGAGGTTACGTATTACCATTAAATAAGGCAGGGGTTACGTATTACCATTAAATAAATAAGGCAGGGGTTACGTATTACCATTAAATAAGGCAGAGATTACGTATTGCCATTAAATAAGGCAGGGGTTACGTATTACCAGTAAATAAATAAGGCAGGGGTTACCATAAATAAGGCAGGGTTACGTATTGCTGATAAATAAATAAGGCAGGGTTATGTGTAAATAAGGCAGGGTTGTAAATAGGCAAGGGGTACATATTACCATTAAATAAGGCAGGGGTTACGTATTACCAGTAAATAAGGCAGGGGTTACATATTACCATTAAATAAGGCAGGGGTTACGTATTACCATTAAATAAGGCAGGGGTTACGTATTACCATTAAATAAGGCAGGGGTTACATATTACCATTAAATAAGGCAGGGGTTACATATTACCATTAAATAAGGCAGGGGTTACATATTACCATTAAATAAGGCAGAGGTTACGTATTACCATTAAATACAGCAGAGGTTACGTATTACCATTAAATAAGGCATTGTACCCCTTCGATAGCGTTGAGTATACTAGTACAGGTTTAAGGCTCCGTGGAAGGTAATGTAAACACTATACAGTACCGAGATAACAACAAAAGACATTTAATAAACATACCTGGTCTTCTTTTTCTTGACTCCCGGAGTGTCTGAGGATTTCTTAGATTTTGATTCGGATTTCTTCGCTGATGGTTCTCCTGTAAGAGGGAAGGAAGGTAGGTGGTGAATAATTATGGTCATTATCTAGGGATTACCTGATAATTTGACCACCCTGTATCGTTACCTGGGGGAGGGTTAGGTTAAGGTAGGTTAGGTTATTTTACGTTAGATTTGGTTAGGTGAGGTTAGGTTAGATTAGGTTAGGTTAGGTTAGGTTATGTTTCAGTAGGTTAGGTTTGGTTATGTTAGATTAGGTTAGGTTAGGTTAGGTTAGGTTATGTTTCAGTAGGTTAGGTTTGGTTATGTTAGGTTAGGTTAGTTAGGTTAGGTTAGGTTAGGTTAGGTTATCATTTGTAGGTTAGGTTAGATTAGGTTAGGTTAGGTTAGGTTATGTTTCAGTAGGTTAGGTTTGGTTATGTTAGATTAGGTTAGGTTAGGTTAGGTTAGGTTATGTTAGGTTATGTTTCAGTAGGTTAGGTTTGGTTATGTTAGATTAGATTAGGTGTTTAATCATCAGGTTATATAATACTCCAGTGCTTAATCCTCAGCTAATCCTTTTCTGAATATGTTTACATAAGTCTGATTCTTAAAAGTTTTTAATTTAATATTTCCCGTAAATAACACACCTAGCAGGCTGACTTAAGCTAAATCACAATAATTAAGTCGAAAAGGACGAGACAAGTTTTCTCCTTAATTTATGTCATCTTTGTCGTCAGCCAATGGGAACACGATACGCCATATATTGTATTCCTTAGCCAATAAAAACACAAAACGTCATAGTGTCCTTAGCCAATAAAAGCACACTACGTCATAGTGTCCTTGGCCAATAAAAACACAAAACGCCATACAATCCTCATCCAATTAAAGCACAATACGTCATAAGTGTCCTTGGCCAATAAAAACACAAAACGCCATACAATCCTCATCCAATTAAAGCACAATACGTCATAAGTGTCCTTAGCCAATAAAAACACAAAACGCCATACAGTCCTCATCCAATTAAAGCACAATACGTCATAAGTGTCCTTAGCCAATTAAAACAATACGCGGCATAAAGCGCTACCCTCAGCCAATGAGAGCAGAAGACACCATAGAGTGTAATAACTGTATGTTCCCTGTATACCGCCCACAAGAAATGCTTTGTTGTCACGTCTTCCTGTTTGGTTTAATAGACGAGAAATTTATTTGGCAGATAAAATATTCTTGACGGTCGTGAAGTGATGGCTGATGTGTGATTATGTAGTTGTTGTAATTAGCTTCATCAAACCCTAACTAAACCTATAGCCTAATGTCGATTTTTGAAATTATGTTTTATTAATGGGTTGGTTAGAGTGGTGTGGTTCTGGTCTGTGATGACTTTTATCTTAGCTTAAATAATCTAGAGTTTTCATGTCTTTTTTCAAGTTAAGTTAATATTGAAGTGACCACGCATAATAAGATCGGCTCTGAGTATGTGACACCTCAGTTGTACAATGGAATTTATCCTAAGGCCCGCTACACACGCTCAGTTTTTCACTCTGAATTAACTGGGCAGATCTAAAGTGTACAGTTAATCCGGTACCCCGCGAGTGCCTCCACACAGCGCAGTTTTTAGGTGAGTTTTATCCACAGTCTATCATGACTGGACGTGATCAATATCTGCTCCTGGCCATTGTGACTTTAGCTTGTGCTGCGAAAAATAAGAGAAAAAGAGACCAAACAAGAAGACGTGGTGTAAGAACTGGTTGTTGAAGAGGAAGCAATTTTCTCATATGAATTTGTTGGTGGAACTCAAATTAGAGACCACTGATTGGCACAACTACCTTCGTGTGACACATGAAAACTATTTATACCTGTTATCCCTGGTTGCTCCTTTGACTGAACGAAAGATTACCTGCATGTGAAATGCCATTAGTCCCGACGAACATCTGACAGCTACTCTCAGGTTTCTAGCACCAGGAAGATCTTATAACGATCTTTGGTACACAACAGCGATGTCACCACAAGCGCTGAGACTTGCAGAGCTATCTATACAGTATTAAAGGACTCATTTCAAAGTAAGATATTTAGTTGAAACATTACAAATCTTTAGATCTTCTCCTCAGTATTGAAAAAAAAGTGATTCTTTCCTTCAGTGAATAAATACATGGTTAGTGAAAGTAAGTAAAGACTTGATTGAATAATATGTAGCTAAAACAGTATAGCCTTTTATGCCTCGAGCTGAACATGATGTGTGCATTAGAGGATTTCTTATAGATGGCTGGAGGGGAAGTAATGGAGGGCTGAAGTAGACTAAATACTGGCTTGCTAACATTGGTTGTAGATCAGTGATGGTGGAATTTGGAGGATTTTTATTTTAATTTTTTGGCTCTTCTGCATAGTCTGCATTCTGTATTGATATTCCCCATTTAACCTCAAACAAAACTTCATTGATAAGTCATTCTGCGTAGATTCGTTGGTTTCTGGAAAGAATTGTTAATTTTGAAGCTGTGTGTTTTCCTGCAATATCATAAACATCTTCAGTCTTGCCACCAGATCCACTTCTCTCATCTTTTCAACAAGTTTTTAGTAAGCTGATACTTTCTTATCTGTGTCACAGTAGCTTTTACTTTTAATTTTCCATAGACATTCATGGCTTCGGTAAAGTTCAATAAATTCTGCTACAAACTCCCTCGAGTAGTTCAGCATGCCTGACATCCTGCCGACACGGACACTACATGAAGACTAAGTCAATTTTCGAATTTACCTCCACATGCTCCGGTTTAACCCCACAGTTCAAATCAGTACAGTTAACTTTTGTCACCGACAGATACAGCGCCGTCCAAGATTTTGGCCTGTGCAGTTAAAACTGTGCAGGTAGTTGTCCATCCACACGTTCCGGATTAACTGTACAGTTTTGACCTGCCTAGTTAATCCGGAGTGAAAAACAGCGTGTGTAGCGGAATTAAGATCATAAACCCTGTTTCAGATGCTTACTTTATTTGAGCCATAGGGAAGTTAAGTATTTTTTTAAAATATTTATCATTTGTGTATTGATAAATCTAGAATACATTCATAAGGGCCATAATTGTTGCAGCGCAGTAATACATTATAACAACATTGGCAAAACCTTCGTTACGGCTGTACGTGTTAGTTTGCGTCTGTGCCTTCTTCAATACCCGGCTGTTCTGTTACCCATTGTATTAAACTTCCTTCTTTGAACATTGATTAATTGAAAACTACTTTATATAAATCCCTTCGTCAAATCTTAAATTATTAAAAATTACTATATATAATTCTGCCAAATATTGAAGGATTAAAGAGTAATTTAAATAAACTTCGGTAAGTAGTAAATAATTAAAATCCAAAACCGATAGAGAAATTAATTTGATAAATATAAACCATAAAAAACAATAAACACATTAATGCGTTAAATTTAATAAAAGAAAAACCATTATGTAAGATTCCCTTTATCGAATTCTAAACTATTTTAAACTAGCATAAAATAGTTAAAAACCGCCATTCAAATCTTCCTTTCAAATAATAAAATCATAAAAGATGGCAGCACAACAAACCCTTAGTCAAATGTTCTATAATTGAAAACCACTACAGGTATTTAAGTTCAATATATAAATCCTTACGTCATATAATTTAATCATTAGAAACCACTATATAACAAATTTCCAGGGTTAAATTCTAAAAAACGCCCACTATAGAAAAATTGCACAGTTAAATTTTAGAACATTTATAAACGGCTATATAAAAATTCCCGTCAGTCATTAAATAATTATAAGCCTCTGTACAAAATTCCCTAATTAATAATAAACCTATTTAGATTGTTTGGCTGTAATAAATTTTCTTTTTAATGTAGACGGGATTTTTATATTTTATATTTACACAAATTATTCTTATTTAAGTAATAATTTCAGGTGTTGTATAGCAATAATTTCTAATACATTGATTCATCATTTTTGTTTTTAGTCTCAACATCTTGTAAATTAATATATTTTACGCAAATTTTACTTGAAAATTTTAACACAATTTTCTCTGCATGTAAAGGGCCAGGTATATTGCGCAGTCTTTATTAAAATATCAGATACAAAGTCACATATGATACTAATTTGGCAAAGTCACCGCGTGTATACAGTGAGCCGCAGTGTACCAAGATCCTTAGATTAGGTTACGTTAAGTTAGGTCTAGTTAGTTCTCAATTGGCTCTTAAATTGACTATATTGTACACTGGCTCTGCGTCGTTCCCGATTTTCTCGCAAGAATATATTGACACCTGGATTTGGGTTCGTTAGTCATATAATAATAATAATAATAATAAACTGGAAAATTATCCTTTTCTTTAACAATAATAATTTGAGCTCTGCAGGGCCTGGGTAGATATTTACCGTCATATATAATTAACTAAAATGAAGACTGTATACTTACTGCAATAAGTATAATAATGCCAACGCTATTTTTTTAAGTTTAATGTACCAAGTGTACCATCGTATGTTTATTTTTCTCTTGCGACCCACAGCCAGAACAACAATTTGAATTGCGACCCATTAAACATTAAGTGTAATGATATGAAATGAGTAAATCAAAGACAAACACTGTTCACAATTTTCCTTTATTTAGGAATTGCTCTCCTTGCAGTCCCTTCCTAGACTGTGGAGTGTACTGTACATTACAATAACCAAGCCTAAGTTATGGTGCATTTATTTTTATTTTATTTTTTATTTTCGCGACCCATTTTTATTTTGCGACCCAATTTATTTATTTCGCGACCCACTGAAGGATCGGGACCCATAGTTTGAAAACCCCTGCGTGGTGATGTATAGGTTGTGTGATGTTTGGATCCTTGTCACGGAAAATCACCACAATAGTGAGAGCGTCAGTTAGGATTCTGTAATGTAAAGAATTCTTGGTGACAGTGAGTGAAGGATGGGTGTGTGTGTGTGTGGGTGGTGGGGGTGAATTTACAAGAAGTACAACATTTAAAGGAAAAAAAAAGGATGCTTAGTATTCAGCAAACTAGAAATAAGATTCACATACTGTTCACACATTATGCTAGTTCAGTTTAGATCAGCTCACGATACGGATATCAGAAGTGCTGTTTAAAATTATAAATAAACTTATATAATAACAATAGTGAAAAAAATTGTACCTTTGTGTCGCCCTAGATTTGAAAAGTTGTTAGATAGACTTGGTTGATGCTTAGAGACCCTGGCAGTTATCAACATGAATTTAAAACGAATTTATTTTTGTTGGTTCCACATTTTTAAAAGTTGTCTATTATAGAAATTCAAACTTACCGAGTGTTGCCTAATGTCTCCGGTACAGTAGTTAAAACACGTGTAAAATAAAGGAACAACTTTTTTATTTTCCAGTTTTTTAGAAGTTGTCTGCTGTAGAAACAAGACGATGTGGACGGTTTTCATAACACCATCATGAATAATTACTTATATCATGTGCAATATTCATAATCATTTACATATATAAAATGAAAAAGCCTTAGTGATTATATAAAAGAAAAACACCAAAGAAAGACTAATAGAAAGAATAGGAAGCAACAGGAACGAATTAAGATTGGTCCTCCAATCTTAATTCGTTCCTGTTGTTCCGATTTGAGTGTGATTGCCAGCGCACGACATTTAATTGCAGCTGAAGTCATTCTGCCACCGGTGATTATCTTAAAATTTAGGCAACACGCGAGGTGAGATGCTTCCTATTGTAATTCTGTCTAGTAGAAAATAACCTCAACAACTGAAACACCTAATGCATCACCAAGTATAGATAACCCTAACGATTTGAAGCACCTCACACGAAACACGAAACAGTAAACGAGAAATAACAGAAACATCATCGACAATGTCCTAATAAAACGGCTGACTGCCCTAGTATTCTAACCAATAGATCACTGGCTGTAATGTTAATGTTATAATGTATTACTGCGCTTCATCAACGAAGGTATTTAAACCTGTGATCTAAGACTGGTTAATACCCTAATCCTCAACATTATAAAACTGATATACAATACTCTTAATTTGGCCGTATGATTATATAACAAATAACTTGCGTAGATTGGACTGCGCACCTGACGTTAGAATTCAAAATTAGGTTTGTATAGCTAACGGAAGTATATATATATATATATATATATATATATATATATATATATATATATATATATATATATATATATATATTTTTTATTCTTGCTAACGAAAAAATCACGTATTATTAAATTATATGTACTGTATACTGTATATCCGCTAATTTTACTTATATGATTATTTTTGTTTTTATTCATGCATTTCTATCAACACCGAGTCCCATTATATTTTCAAATCATATTAGTCGTTAAGTTTTATTTGATTCATTCTGTATATATATATATATATATATATATATATATATATATATATATATACATATGTATACATATATATATATATATATATATATATATATATATATATATATATATATATAATCAAAGTCCGCGGTTATATGGACTAAAATGATATATATATATATATTATATATATATATATATATATATATATATTATATATATATATATATATATATATATATATATATATATATATATATATATATATATATATATATATATATATGTATCCATGGGTATTATTTTAGTTATTTATATATTGTGATTTTTAGCTTTCGTGTGCAGAGTATTATTGATTTTTATTTGCTTATTGTTAATAGCAAAAGCTTTTATATTTTCATGTCATTTTATAAATTATTAAATAATATATAAGCTTGGGTTTTAGTTATATTTTTTAGTAGCAGTTCAATTATTTTGTTAGTATAAGCACCCGTTCCGGTATTTAAACTGACAAATCACGAGCGAACACGTAACAATGGTCTTCTTTGGGTGGAAAATAAAGAGTTGCGGATGAGTGGAACAAGTTACCAAATCCATCATTATTAAGTGGAACTGGCTAGGAAATATAGGTTGGACATATTGTATTTGTGATAATTGTTGGTTATAAGCAGGAGCAGCAGTTAACAATATTCTTATATTACATAGTTCTCGGTATATACTAACAGTCAAACACAGACAATTCCATCACTTGTTATTCTTTTGTTCTCTGTAAAGAATGTGTTGTGCTGTGAAGTTTTCCCTTCCATAAACCATTTCCATATAATAATAATGATAAGAATAAGAATAGTAGTAACAGCAGTAGTGTTTACAGAGAAGAATTTAGCCCATAACCTCAAATTCTTTCCTATATGGACGGTGGATGTGAAGCAAGAGCCAGATAATGTCAACACAAGTATAGTGAGGTATACTTTCGTTCCCGCGACACCTGTTGATTCTGAGAGTTTGTTGAGTGTTCCGGGGAATCTGTTGTGCTGAGAGCTTTGCTAGGTGGACTGGGAATTTAGTAAGGGTGCTGAGAGTTTTACTAGGTAGGTTGGGAATTTGACAAGGTGTGCTGGGAACTTTGCTGAGTGCTAGGTGAGTTCAGAGCTCGACAGTTAGGAAGGTTTAGGCTATATAATGGTTGGCTCCTAGGACTGGCATAACACTAACGGAGGGCTGCTAGGAGTGGTTTAACATTACAGGGTGGCTGCTAGGACTGGTTTAAGATTACCTGGGAGCTGCTAGGACTGGCATAACACTAACTGAAGGCTGCTAGGAGTGGTTTAACATTACAGGGTGGCTGCTAGGACTGGTTTAAGATTACCTGGGAGCTGCTAGGACTGGCATAACACACTAACTGAAGGCTGCTAGGAGTGGTTGTGACTGGGGGCTACTAGGATTTGGTTTAACATTACAGGGTGGCTGCTAGGACTGGTTTAAGATTACCTGGGAGCTACTAGGACTGGCATAACACTAACTGAAGCCTGCTAGGAGTGGTTTAACATTACCTGGTGGGCTGCTAGGGGTGGTTTAGCATTACAGGAGGCTGCTAGGACTGGTTTAGCACTACAGGGGCTGCTAGGACTGATTTAAGATTGCCTGGGGCTGCTAGGACTGGTTTAAGATTGCCTGGGACTGCTAGGACTGGTTTAAGATTGCCTAGGAACTGCTAGGACTGGCTTAACAGTAATTCAGGGCTGTTAGGAGTAGTTTAAGATTACCTGGGGGCTGCTAGGAGTGGTTTAACATTACAGGGGGCCTGCTAGGACAGGTTTAACACTACAGGGGGCTGCTAGGGCTGATTTAAGATTGCTTGGGGCTGCTAGGACTGGTTTAGCATTACCTCGGGGCTGATCGGACTGGTTTAACATTACATGGGGTATGCTAGGGCTGGTTTAGCATTGCCTGAAGGCTGCTGGGACTGATTTAACATTGCCTGGGTCTGCTAGGACTGGTTTAACATTGCCTGGGGGCTGCTAAGGCTGGCATAACATTACCTGGGGACTGTTGGAACTTATCAGACAGGGGGCTAGGATTGGCTGAGAGTCGTATAGCTTTACCTCTGGAACTGGGAGATTACCGACACCTGACCTAGCAAAAAAAACGTCTAGGAGTATGTGGGAGCCGTAAACTGTTACCTGGGGGAGCTAATGGAGGTTGCTAGGACTTTGTGGCAAGGAGAGGGGGAACTGTCCGGGAAGTTGCTAGGAGTGACTGAGAGGGTGCTGGGATTATCTGGAATCAAATGATGCGACCTCTGAAACTTGAGGGGTGCTGTGAGTGGCTGAGAAAATAGTAGAAGTGACTAGGATTAATCTGCTGCTGAGAGAGCTAGGAATGGGTGAGAGACGGCTGGGACTCGCCTTTGGAGTTGGAAGGTTGTTAGGAATTGCTGAGAGAGCAAGGAATGGGTGAGAAACGGCTGGGACTCGCCTATGGAGTTCGAAGGTTGCTAGGAATTGCTGAGAGAGCTAGGAATGGATACAAGAGAAGGCTTGGGGTGGCTTAGAAAGAAGGCTGGGAGTGGCTGAGAGAGACAACTAGGAGCGGTTAGGACTCACCTGTGGAGCTGGGGGGTTGCTGAGACTGGGTGGGCGGGGTGGAGGAGGGTTGTCCAGGGTAGGAAGGGCCTCCATCATCTAACTTCCTCTTCTCTCCCACCACTGGGCTGGGCAAGGGCGCCTCCAGGGAGCTGCCGGCGTGGGCGTGGGCATGGGCGTGGGCGGGTTGGGGCTGGGGTTGGGCATGGTTATTCTGCTGCACGTGCGCGTGGTTGTTCTGCACGTGTGGGTGTGGCGTGTTCTGGGCGTTGAGGTTGGTGAGGGCGTGGTGCTGGGTCTGCGTGTTGTAGTGGGAGGGTTGCGTGGGTGTGGTGACGTGGGTGAGGGACACGGGCGTGTTGAGGGTGGTGGGCGTGGGGAGGTTATCCTGGTACTCCCTGTGGTTTGCGAGAGTGGGAGTCAACATCAGGTCAGTCTGCAGACCCAACATGACCTGAATGCTATGGAAGTTACCCCCTGAACCCCCCGTCCCTGATC